CTTTACAATTCTGGTCCAACAGCTCCCCCTAGTGGACATGGGGTGACAAGGTGGCGTCGGAGAGCACGACGGCGCTAACTCGTTATATGCACGGTTATGTAGGTCACCTGTCCGCCGTTTGGCCTGTGGAGTGTTTTCCACCAGTACTTAACCGAAGATCAAACACATCTCCCAGCATGACTTCCCACTTCAATTAGAGCAAAGTATTGCGCACAAACCTGTTTTGCCAAGAACCAGGTTAGCGAAACGCGCTGAAACAAACCTAAACACGTTGGGCCTCTTAAAACAGTCACGATTCAGGAGCTTCTTCAGTCGCATTACCCCCGAGAGCAGCTGTATCGAGTGTGAACAAAAAGTGGCCCTTTTGTTTCAGCCCTGTCCCTTGCTATTGGCATGTAAAGAGGTGGCGGAGAGCCACAAATAGCGGCGAACGAAGGGTTAACAGACTAAAGACAAAGCAAGATTCTGAGAGCATTGTGCTAGAGTGAGGACTGGAGGGCCTCGGGGCCATGATGGGCCAAAGGCCTCCGCATAGGGACACTGGGCTCCTTTCAGCCCGGGCCTTTCAAGAGCACACCCTGCCTGAAAAGAGCCTGTCACAGCCCCCGCTACTGCTCTCCTTCACAGCTCTCTATCCCAATCAGCTCCTCTCTCCCGAGAGCGGGAGAGCGGGGAGGCCCGATCCTTCTCTCTACAGGCCTGAACCAATCTCTGGCCCCCAGAGGTTGAGCGCTTGAGGTCATATGGTCATATCGCTGAGGTTCTGCCAGGTCTGAGAACCTGGCTCCAACTGAGATGCAATTCAGCTCCGTCTATGCATATGAGGCACATATACACTAAGAGAGAACATTTCAATACGGTACTTTATCAGAACACTACATTTGATGGGCCGAAAGATGTGTTGTCACTTTAAAACTCTTCTTAGATGACTCTACAGTGACGTTAATTGACGGTTCTCGTCAAAGATTCAGTAAAAAACTCAATGGAAATCACCTCAAAGGCCGTCTTTTGGAAGTCCTGTTTATGCTACCAACATTTTTTGCTACCCTATTTCACCAAAAAGTCATGTCTATGACCGACATGACTGATTGTTTAAGTTATCGAACACTGGTGTCACTTCAGAGTACTCGAGCACATCCTTAATAGTAAAATATATTACATTTAGCAAGTGTTATGTTGAGATGCTTAATATTTAAACCATCCCAATAAATGAATCATCAGTAACACTTTACTTAAAGCCTTTATGTATAATGCATTATAAAGGGTTATTGAAGGGTATAATGCATTACAATTATTCATAATTTGCATTGTAATACATGTGATACATACAATATCTTATCGTAAATAATTATAACTGAATTTAAAATGCATAGTGTAACAATGAATTGATAAGTGTTATACTGTATTAACTGTGGTTACAATTATGCATGAGGTGCATTACAAGGCATAATTAATTAATGCATTAAAACTACTTTTATAATGCATTATACATAAATGATTTAAGTAAAAAGTTACTTCTGGGATTTAAGACCTAACTTTAGAAGGCTATTTACGCACATCTTTAGGAATTGTTTATGAACATTCTTTTTAGAAATTCAAATTCTTTAAGTTTTTTTTTCCCCCAGAACAATTTAGGAAAAATTAATTTTTTTGAAGAATGTTTTTGGGGGGGGAATAAAAAAGTTTATTCTTTATTCTTATAACTTTATTCTTAAGGTGGGAAATAAGAATATAGCAGTTAAGAAGAATGTTAAGAATTCATTTTTCTTGAATCTTGCCCCTGGTTTTTGGTGACTAAAAAAAAAAAGTCTTTGCTATACCAAAGAAAGGTCTAGTCACACCCAACCTGCATTTTCAGGTTGTATTTTTAAAAACCAAGCAAATGGAATTTATATGCCTCCTCCACTTTAATGATGTATCTGAGGCTGGTGCAATGCTGCATTAAAATACTTAATTGCATTCTGTGCAAACCCCCCCCACCCTCTCAACCCCCATCCACGGCAAGTGAGGACAGCCGCAGTTTAAGTTGGGAGCATCTGCAGTTTCACAGCATCTCTATACCTCCAGCACCCAGTCTCTACCCCCAACCTCCCGCTCTTAAACACTTTATTTGTTTGGAGGACGTCGGCAGTCTCCTGGCACTTTAACACCAAGCGTTGATAACTAGTTATGGGCGTTTTGCGCCGCAACTCGTGTTATCCTCAGACAGCTGATCATACACTGATAGAGAGGAGGAAAACGTTGGAAGCCCATACTCTCGCAGTGGCCCTGTCTATCTTGAATGTGGGTGGACTACCACTTTGCCCGAGCTAATCTGTTTAAGGCGTATTGTGCGGCGCTAACACCGGCATTTTCTGTTATCTGCCACGCTTGATAAGGTACATCTTTATTAAATTCACTTCTGTGAATGGGTGTCAAGAAGGGAACCGGGAATATGCTAATAGCAGGGACAAATTAATGTCCTTTTTTTTGGAATCCACTGTCCCATCCTCCATTTTGCCCCCCATCTTCTCTTGAGCATATCTGTCCCTATCGGACTGCAGGCTAGGGTGCTAATGAATGCCTGGATGCAGAGTACAAGGTGGGGGAGCGGGTGGGGAACGAGGGAGCGAAACATCTATCCTTTACCACCAGAAAAGAAAAAAAAAGACTGGTGTTGGGCAAGGTGAAATAGCTTTTCTTTTCATTTTGCACACCAGCCCCTCCCATCTCAGCGACCAGTACCCCATCTTTCCCCCCTTTCTTGTCAGGAGACGCATATTACGCTTTACAATTCTGGTCCAACAGCTCCCCCTAGTGGACATGGGGTGACAAGGTGGCGTCGGAGAGCACGACGGCGCTAACTCGTTATATGCACGGTTATGTAGGTCACCTGTCCGCCGTTTGGCCTGTGGAGTGTTTTCCACCAGTACTTAACCGAAGATCAAACACATCTCCCAGCATGACTTCCCACTTCAATTAGAGCAAAGTATTGCGCACAAACCTGTTTTGCCAAGAACCAGGTTAGCGAAACGCGCTGAAACAAACCTAAACACGTTGGGCCTCTTAAAACAGTCACGATTCAGGAGCTTCTTCAGTCGCATTACCCCCGAGAGCAGCTGTATCGAGTGTGAACAAAAAGTGGCCCTTTTGTTTCAGCCCTGTCCCTTGCTATTGGCATGTAAAGAGGTGGCGGAGAGCCACAAATAGCGGCGAACGAAGGGTTAACAGACTAAAGACAAAGCAAGATTCTGAGAGCATTGTGCTAGAGTGAGGACTGGAGGGCCTCGGGGCCATGATGGGCCAAAGGCCTCCGCATAGGGACACTGGGCTCCTTTCAGCCCGGGCCTTTCAAGAGCACACCCTGCCTGAAAAGAGCCTGTCACAGCCCCCCACTACTGCTCTCCTTCACAGCTCTCTATCCCAATCAGCTCCTCTCTCCCTTTCCTCAGAGAGCGGGGAGGCCCGATCCTTCTCTCTACAGGCCTGAACCAATCTCTGGCCCCCAGAGGTTGAGCGCTTTTCAAAAGGAGGTCATATCGCTGAGGTTCTGCCAGGTCTGAGAACCTGGCTCCAACTGAGATGCAATTCAGCTCCGTCTATGCATATGAGGCACATATACACTAAGAGAGAACATTTCAATACGGTACTTTATCAGAACACTACATTTGATGGGCCGAAAGATGTGTTGTCACTTTAAAACTCTTCTTAGATGACTCTACAGTGACGTTAATTGACGGTTCTCGTCAAAGATTCAGTAAAAAACTCAATGGAAATCACCTCAAAGGCCGTCTTTTGGAAGTCCTGTTTATGCTACCAACATTTTTTGCTACCCTATTTCACCAAAAAGTCATGTCTATGACCGACATGACTGATTGTTTAAGTTATCGAACACTGGTGTCACTTCAGAGTACTCGAGCACATCCTTAATAGTAAAATATATTACATTTAGCAAGTGTTATGTTGAGATGCTTAATATTTAAACCATCCCAATAAATGAATCATCAGTAACACTTTACTTAAAGCCTTTATGTATAATGCATTATAAAGGGTTATTGAAGGGTATAATGCATTACAATTATTCATAATTTGCATTGTAATACATGTGATACATACAATATCTTATCGTAAATAATTATAACTGAATTTAAAATGCATAGTGTAACAATGAATTGATAAGTGTTATACTGTATTAACTGTGGTTACAATTATGCATGAGGTGCATTACAAGGCATAATTAATTAATGCATTAAAACTACTTTTATAATGCATTATACATAAATGATTTAAGTAAAAAGTTACTTCTGGGATTTAAGACCTAACTTTAGAAGGCTATTTACGCACATCTTTAGGAATTGTTTATGAACATTCTTTTTAGAAATTCAAATTCTTTAAGTTTTTTTTTCCCCCAGAACAATTTAGGAAAAATTACTACTTTTATAATGCATTATACATAAATGATTTAAGTAAAAAGTTACTTCTGGGATTTAAGACCTAACTTTAGAAGGCTATTTACGCACATCTTTAGGAATTGTTTATGAACATTCTTTTTAGAAATTCAAATTCTTTAAGTTTTTTTTTCCCCCAGAACAATTTAGGAAAAATTAATTTTTTTGAAGAATGTTTTTGGGGGGGGAATAAAAAAGTTTATTCTTTATTCTTATAACTTTATTCTTAAGGTGGGAAATAAGAATATAGCAGTTAAGAAGAATGTTAAGAATTCATTTTTCTTGAATCTTGCCCCTGGTTTTTGGTGACTAAAAAAAAAAAGTCTTTGCTATACCAAAGAAAGGTCTAGTCACACCCAACCTGCATTTTCAGGTTGTATTTTTAAAAACCAAGCAAATGGAATTTGTATTGTCAGGTGGAGACAAGAGAGTTTCCATTGACTATTGTTTTATACTGAGTAATGATATTTTCTATCCCTAACTCTCACTGATTTATACTGAGCTAATGATCATTTCTATGCCAAGCAATTTAGGCGCATTCAAAGTGTTCTGAATATGAGAGTTTGTCCTTACGTATCTGTGGAGAATCTCCTTCCTCTCATGGGGGTCGTCCAATACATTGACGGACAGGTCAGCGATGGAGACGGCAGCAGAGGCTGTGAGAGTGACCAGCAGCACCAGTGTGCCCTCACCCTCCTCCAGAGTCAGGTCCAGTCTGTGTGTGCACTCCTTTGAGAGAACAGAGAGGTCCACCTGGCACCTGACAGACACACACACGCACACACAACACCATTATCATTATCATGTTGTCTTACAGGATACCACATGTATGACAAGAGAAAGACACAGCAGAAAAGAGAAAAAGAAACCTAAACAAAATGCTCAATGAATGGGTGTTTCTTTAACTGCGTGCACTTCTGACCCTGAGAACATTTAAAAATGAAATTCCTTAAAACACTGTCATTCTTTCTTTCTTTATTTTGCTCTCTTGAACTGTCAAAAACATAAATGTAATTTCCACCTTACAACTCAAAACCTTAATTTTGTGATGGAAAATACATTTCTCTTATAAAATGTCGGCCTCCTTTTCTATGCTGAGGCTAAGTTTATTATTGCTAGCATTTTGTGTATCTTAAATACACAATTAAAATATATTTTTTTAACTTTTAGTACAATTTGACAAAATTACACTTTGATTGGAAATCACACATCTTTTATTTGAGCTTAAGCTCCTCACTGACTCTCATCTCCTCCGTAAACAAATATACTAAGTTGGTTGTGTTAAAAATGTCAGCACAACAAACTCAAACACTCTGTAAATGTGAAGTTTAATGGTGATAATTACACCTAAATGTGTAGTGGTCATGACAAGTTTTTTTTGCCACAACACAGCTTTGCTAATAAATATTTATGATCAGTTATTAAATTAGTTTGTTTGAATATTTTAATATGACTTCTGGCTGTTTTGATAAAAGATCTGCATTACGTATTGATTCTAAGAGTAAATATTTTGCTAATTTCCAAGTCAAAACTGTAATTGTATTTATTATTTATTTATTTATTTGTTGAATTTAATGAATTAATATTTTTACTCAGCAAGGACAGATTAAATTGGGCTAAATTTAAATTAAATCAATTTAAAATAAACAATGTTCTTTTCAACTTTCTTTTCGTTAAAGAATCTTGAAAACATTTAGAACAGTTTCTACAGACATAATAAGCAGCACAACACTTTTAAGCATAATACCACTACTACTACTACTAATAATAATAATAGTGACAATAATAATTCAGGTAGTGTATATCAGTATAAGATTATGTTGGAACTGTAAATAAGACCCATTTTAATGTGATTACTCTTAATAATAGGTAAAGCAATCCTAATATATTATTAGTATATTAAATATTTGAGTTATATTCAAATATCTTTAAAAAAAACTGAAGTAACTGATAACTTTTTTTTCAACTTCCCCCTAGTAACAACAAAGAAGAAAAACCAAGTGCATGAGGCAGAAAGAAACCACAAGAGAGAAAACGGCTGAATAATTGCACTAGAATACAGTTTGTTCCCAGCAATTCCTCCACATGTTCCCGCTGTGACAATGTGTTCTTCTCTACAGGAACATCACCCAGGTACTGAAAGCTTCAATTGATCCTGAATGGAGTAACTAATGTGGAGATCAGTGCTGGGGCAGGCTGGGGCACGCTAGACAACTCATGGTCAGAGAGGACTCAAGTAGATGAGCATTTAACAGAGGGAAATAGCCAATTACAAGTATGCCACCCGACTGATTCTGACATGCCACCTTTATGACCAGGAGGACTGGTGTAGGGAACAGACAGGAAACTAAGTAAAGTCCACTGCCTCATTCCCACATCGCACAGCCATTAACTCTACTGCCAATCACTCCTAATGGGGTTTTGTCAGAGGCTGCGATTCTCAAACTCTCTCCCTCTTTCACCCTCTCTCACACACACACAGGAACTGTCTATGAGAGGACAGTTTGAAGAATGAATGACTTTAGCTGCAACATACCGTACAGCAGACCTGTTATTTAACAGTATTATACTTAATAGTAATTGGTCAATCACAGCATTTTGCAGTCAAATTTAGGAAAAAAATTAACTTAAATGATTTTAGCAAATGGCTGCAATATAACAAAGAGTGAAAAATTTAGAGGGGTCTGAATACTTTCCGTACCCACTGTATATATATATATATATATATATATATATATATATATATGTATATATATATACTGTATAAGTGACAGGTAAATTGTATCCCACATCACCGTGTTGTCTCTAATAAAAATACATATATATTTTGTGTCTATGTATGTATTTATTTGGAAAGTAGCTTTGCTTAGAGGTCCTTAACACATTGTCATGGTTTATTTTGCATCAATAATTGGCTATGAAACGTACAGTATGTACACTTTGAAAATTAAAACCTAAAAACACTAAATAAAGACTTTGGTTTTTATTAATGTATCAATTTACATACCATTTCATCTCTAGGAGTGATTTTAGTGATTGCCATAAAATTGATTGAGAGTACTGCACATTCTCCATCTCTTGCATATTGTCATTTTGATCACAAGCACTTCTGAATGCCAATAGAATGGTGATTTTTTTTACGAGGAAAAACTCAAATTTGATTTGTTCAACCTGTACTGTTGAAATGGTTTTTACTCTATACATCTATTAGACAGTGGTTATCAACCTTTTTGACTCCAAGGCCTAAATTATCCAAAACAATATTTAAAGGACCCCCATGTAGACTAAGATATTTAAATATTATATTAAAGGGTTAGTTCACCCAAAAATAGAAATTAGGCTGCGTTTTACTCACCCCCGATGCATCCTAGGTGTATGACTTTCTTCTTTCAGACGAATCCAGTCGGAGTTATATTAAAAATAGTCTTTGATCTTTCAAGCTCTATCATTGTACTCGGCGGGTGTTGCATTGCTTCTGTCCAAAAGACGTGAAATAAAAAGCACCTTTCCATTAAATAAAGTGTCTCACACGGCTCCGGGATGTGAACAAAGGCCTCCTGTAGCGAATCAATGCGTTTTTGTAAGAAAAATATCCATATTCAAAACATAATAATCACTTTAATCTAGCTTGCGCCAGCAGTTGTACACAGAAGCAGTTCCGGACGGATGACGTATGAGTTCAGCGTTGCGCATGCGCCGGTGAGTCTTGTGAAAACCAACGTTTGTTAACAGGAGCAAAGGAAGCAAAGTTTCCTTACTTTAGCAAAGGAAAACAAGTCTCCTCTTTGGCTTATATCGAAATCCTCCGACATTCTTCTTTACAAATCCTCGTTTTGTACTTCTAATAAGTGACCGTTGTTTTGTTTCGATCTCTCTGCGTGCGTCACTTCTGAGCGGCGCATTGCACAAAGCTGACCTCATACGTCATTCCCCCGGAACTGCTTCCGTTTTACAACAGTGAGCGCAAGCTAGATTCAAGTGATTATTACGTTTTGAATATGGATATTTTTCGTACAAAAACGCATCGATTCGCTACAGAAGGCCTTTGTTCACCCCCCGGAGCCGTGTGAGACACTTTTTTTGTGGAAGGGTGCTTTTTATTCCACGTCTTTTGGACAGAAGCAATGCAACACCCGCTGAGTACAACGATAGAGCTTGAAAGATCAAAGACTATTTTTAATATAACTCCAACTGGATTCGTCTGAAAGAAGAAAGTCATACACCTAGGATGCATCGGGGGTGAGTAAAACACAGCCTAATTTTTTTGTGGGGGGGTGAACTAACCCTTTAAATTCTATTATATCATTAGATTCAAGAACTCAATATTCTTTAGTGTTCAATAATGAATTTATGTGACTTTGACACTTTTTGAAAATATAGAATAAGGGCAAATGCAATTTCTCTGCATTTTCTACTCAGTAAAATATTTCAGAGCTTGAGAAAAACTAAAAATGTCAATGATTTTTCAGAACATTTATATTTAGAGATTATATATAGAGAATATATAAGATTGTTTTGTCTTATTTTAATTATTTGTCATCTTGCAGGCTACTTAGTGATTGCTTTATAAACAAGTAGACCTAGTGACCCCTAAGACAGGTTGGGAAACCCTGTACTGCACAATGGTATAACAGTAGTGAATATCATATTCATAACCTATAACTGTAGAGAATATCATATTGTCAAGTTGCCAAAAAACTACAGTAATTATGAGCCATAATTAATCAGGAAATTGACCCTCTAACACTAGCATTCTCTACTTGTTTTCTTTTTATTTATTTAAAAAAAAACTGACCCAATAACTTTTTATTATACTATTTATTATAAAAAAGAGACTTGTCACAGCATTTACTGTACATATTATTGCTCTTTTGTTGTTTAAGATTGCTTCTATTGTCCTCATTTGTAAGTCTTTTGGATTAAAGTGTCTGCTAAATGACTAAATGTAAATGTTAATCAGATCAGACTATGAGAGTGTGAGAATAACACAAAAAAGTCAAGTGCATGACCAACCTGCCCATAAAGTCATCTTTCTTTCCTGCATCTTTGTCCCAGATGGTGATGTCAATGAAACCGCCCTGTTCATCATACAGGTGGAAGTCAAACTGCTCTCTCCACTGGGGGTTTAGCGTTTTTGGTATTGTCTGTATAGAAGGAAAGAAGCACACTTGATCAGAATTTACCTTACGTGAAAGAGAAAGTCTCAAATGAACAAGTAACTTGAATAAAGCTCATGTGGACCATACCTTACTTTTGTACTTTTGATGTCCCATTCTGAATTTGACATAAGGGTCACTGAGACCATTGGCATCCATAGGCTGGAGGTCACGGGCCTCAATGAGACTGATGCTAACAATGCCTCTCCACAGCTGAGCCTTTCTGTGAACGTCTGATAACCTCAGACTCTGATGCTGCGATGTGACAAAAACACACACCCATACACACACTCACATCAGGCAAGATACAATCCAATGTGAAGAGAAAGTCAATGAAGTTAAAGCTGAACGGCTGACAATGTGTTTGTGGTCAAAAATGTGATGCGAAAACAACAAGTTGCAGCAACATGAAAGACACATATTTTGGGGATGCGGTATGTAAGGACAACATACACACAGAGAGTGACGGCACTGCAAAGACAGAGACAAACACAGACAACAGTGTGTCAACGGTAACTTTCCATGAGTAAAACATGAATATACACTACTGTGCAAAATTTTGGGGTCGGTAAGATTTTTAAATGTTTCTGAAAGACATCTATGCTGCATTTATTTGATCAAAAATGCAGTATAAACAGAAATAGTGTGAAATATAACTACAAATGAAAATACTGTAACATTAAAATTTTCAGCAGTCATTACTCCAATCTTCAGTGTCATATGATCCTTCAGAAATCATTCTAATATGCTGATGTAGTGCTCAAGAAATATTTCTCATTATCAGTGCTGAAAACTGTTGTGTTGATTAATGTTTTTGTGGAAACATGATATATATTTTTTTTTTCTGAATTCTTTGATGAATAGAAAGTACAAAAGAACAGCATTTATGTTAAATAGGGATCTTTTGTAACATTACAAATGTCTTTACTGTCACGTTTGATCAATTTAATTCACCACCAATAAAATCTTACTGACCCTAAACTTTTGAACGGCAATATATGAAATAAACAGCAAAAATCTACTAAAGCCCTTCTAAGATCCGGTCTACATTGTCTAATAGGGTAAATCTCATGAAGAAATGTTTAAGGTCATATTTGACGGCATTAAATGAAAATAATAAAAATAAAAATGGAAAATAAAGCTCTTGTTGATTTTTTTCAAGAATCAATGTAGTACAACAAATGCTAACATTATAATATTAATTTTACGTCCATTCATTTATCCAGCAATGCGAAATCTTCTAATTAGTAATATATATGTTTATTATCTAATTAAGAATTTTATATATGCAGACTAATGCAGTCTTTTAGTATCAGATAACTGAGGACTGAAACAAACTATTTTAATAGATATCTCTGTGCTTAATTTGGAGTCCTTATTGATGTGTTTCTTGTTTAAAATGCATATTCATTAAACTGAGCAAACCTGTTCTGAAAAAAACACACAGTTTTGATGTTAAAAGCAGGCAGCTAATGACGTTCTCTCCAGATATTAGTGTGATACTCCGACTGTACACTGTGAAATGACTCTTTTTGTGAGAGGCTTAACATAAGCATTCAGAGCTTTAATGTGATCTTTGGCCATGATGCCGACCTACTCGTTTTGTTCTGATGTTGATTGTGACTAAAAAAGGCTGCACTTCCTCAGTGAGATGATGGTTAAAAGAGATGAAAGTATAAAACCATGAAGTAGATTAAGAAAGTAGAACTGGAAGCAAGTATTATTTTGGCTAACAGCTGTGTTAGCATTAATGTTGTTCTTCCATGCACTTCAGGGTGAAGTTTTCTTTATATTTTTATATATCATAGCAGAAGTTTTAATTTAGGAGATGTATCAATTACAAATCCCGCTTGATTTGCATCTACAGAGCTCATCGTTTACAGTATTTTGGAAATGAAACAGATATAGGAAGTATAAATAGAAGAAACACCCAAGTGTGCACCGCGAGTGGTGTAAAAGTTTGTTATCGTAGCGCTGTTACAGTATTCCCGAGACCCAGCCAACATGGCCCACTTTGGAGCTTCAAAGGCTTGGGTGGGGTAAGCCTTTCAGCAGGACGTCCTTATCCACATGCTGGAGAGCCACTTTCATGTTTCTAGGCCTCTCTAAAAAAGTTGGGCTCCAACATTAGCCAAAACAAAACAGGAGTTACTTGACCTCTGCTGGGACATGCAACTGAGGCATTGTGTTCTCTTGAGTAGCACAAATCAATGCAACTGGGTTGCGTGTTAGAAATGTCTTAAACTGGGACTCCACTTGAAGACCACAAATTACCATTGAAACTAGGACTTTCCCTTAGTAGACAACAGAGAGGTCTGCTGCACACATGCATGCATGAACCAGAGACAAAGACAGTAGTATGTTACTCCCGTCCCAGACCAACATGCCACTTTCATACAAAACAATCCATTCACAACACATGGAAGAAGAAAATGTACAAAAAAAACTATAACAGAACTTCAACTTATAGATTAATAGTGAGGTTGATGAGGAATAGCTTAAGGGATAGTTCATCCAAAAATGAACATTTGATGGTTATCTGCTTACCCCCAGGGCATCCAAGATGTAGGTGACTTTGTTTCTTCAGTAGAACACAAACGAAGATTTTTAACTCAAACCGTTGCAGTCTGTCAGTCATATAATGGAAGTTAACGGGAATTACGGCTTTGAGAGTCAAAAAAACATACACAAACACAACCAAATTAAACCCTGCGGCTCGTAACGATACATTGATGTGTAAAGACACAAAACGATCGGTCTGTGCAAGAAACTGAACAGTATTTATATCGTTTTTTACCTCTGATTCACCGCAGAGTCCGAACCGCCACCAATCTCTCAAATGGACCATTGTCACTCTATCTACAATCTCAATTAGGAGTGTCAATGGTCCATTTGAGAGATAGGTGGCGGTAATGCACTTATAACTCTGCTATCTGCCGTAAAGCAAGCAAGAAGAAGAAGACGCGTCACGCGCCGGCTGTTGAGAACGTGCTCAGGACAGTTCGGACATTGAGGTGAATCAGAGGTAAAAAATCATATAAATACTGTTCAGTTTCTTGCACAGACCAATCGTTTCATGTCTTTACACATCAATGTATCGTCACGAGCCGCAGGGTTTAATTTGGTTTCGTTTGTGTATGTTTTTTGACTCTCAAAGCCGTGATTCCCATTCACTTCCATTATATGACTGACAGACTGCAACGGTTTGAGTTAAAAATCTTTGTTTGTGTTCTACTGAAGAAACAAAGTCACCTACATCTTGAATGGCCTGGGGGTAAGCAGATAAACATCACATTCTCATTTTTGGGTGAAATATCCCTTTACCATTAAAAAAAAAGTAAAGTAGAGAAATTAGATTGTTTTAAGAATTCTTTGAAATCTTTACTATTTAAATATATTTACTCAAATATTTATAGCTTTTATTATTATTTTTTAAATATATTATTTTTATATTTTCAGTTTCATTTTTGATTAAAATTTCATTTTGTTATGTGCTTTTCTCATTTCAGTCTTCTTTTTAATATTACATTTAGTTTAATTTCATTTTATGTTAATAATTTAATTTAATTGTATTCTTTTATGTTTATTTTAGTTTTAATTTTAGTTCAGTTTTATTTATTTCCAGGTAGTAATTTAAGTTCTTCAATTTAAATTTATTTTAGTTACTTGCCAAGTTCTAATGTTAATATTATTTTTTATTTAAGCTTTATTTTTTTTAATAGTTTCTGTTTTAGTTAATGATAATAACTCTGATATATAATAAATATATTACACAAAAATATCAAATTCAGAAACCAACATTGTCACTTGGATAGATGGATAAAGCATTGAAATAAACAGCAACAAATTTGTTAAATAATAATAATAATAATTAAAAAAGATATTGTGCACAGATCCACCACAAAAATATACTACAATAAAATAAAATAAAAAATATGCTTTACATATGCAAAATCACCAGGTTAAATAAATGGTTGCTCTGATCACATCCTGTTTGACTACAACAATAAAGTGCAAAATCTTCTGACAGAACACTGCAGCACATGCACCATGCAGTCGATGCAGTATGAAGATGACAAGAACAGAGTATGCTTTATTTTCTCATTCAATTGCTGCAATACACAAAGGAAACCCTGGCGGCCCTGAATTTGTATCTGGAACTGATTGCTAATTTCAGCCTTTAAGGCAGGACAAAAATTGATGCCCTGCACTTGACAAAGGTCCATTTTCTTATTTGTACACTAGATGACAGTGTTTCATACCCTGTATATTGCAGCACATAGGAAATAAAGTCAGCAAAAGACGATTTTACGACTGAAACAAAAGTAGGCAAGTGAGGGTAAAAAAGCAAAAGGGCTGGGGATCACGGGCCCCTTCAGTCTGAGCAGAGAACTGCAGAAGGCAGGGATCAGGTGGGACATGCTGTTATTACCTTACTGGATCGTTTCCAGCTCCTTCTCATAAGCATGGTCTGTGAATGAGACAAAGCGTTATAAAGCCACCCCTTGCCCTCTCTAACAGGGTGCTAGAGGTTAACCTGGCATCCTGTCTGGATAACTGTTCAGAAGAGCCAAGGGGTCATAAGGAGGCAGCCCGGGGAAGCTATGGTTGGGGGGCAGCCATTATAAGCTAATAAAATCACTAAATCACACACAAAAAAAGAAAATGTCATTCAAAGCTTTGTTAGTTCACTTCTGTCAGGACCACTATCGTCAAAGATGATTGATAATTAGCATACAGTTTGGATTGGTGGTATGGTTCTGTTCTGGGCAAGAACTCCCTGTGCATCCATGCAGCCTAGCATGGATGAGAGCAGGGAGAGCAGCGATAACCCCCCAGGGTAAACAGAACAGAACCAACATAAATGTATTGCAGATATCGTTAAAGTTCAATAATGTTATGTACACATTTTAGAATTAGTCTGATTCAAGGAGAATCAGAAAGCTGAATCCTGACTGACAGAGGAGGAGTTGGGGATGGAGGAGGGTAATTAGCTATTGAGCAATGCAAAAACGGCTGATATTACTGAGGGACCTTATATATTAATGCTTAGATAGGTGTCGTATTCCCATAGGTTGATGGGGATCAGCTGAGAGTCAGCTGATGCGAGCTTGACTAACGTGACCTGCCAAAACTAGCGCTACGCTAGATTAACACAAAGATGCACAGGCACACTCACACATATCTATAGAGGTGTTATAAGTGACTGGATCATACAGTAAGTAAATGTTGTTTATCAAGGGACTTTTTAAAAAAGTCTAGGCCTATATCTTGCATTATATAACACTCCACTATTTATGCAGTATACTGTAGCATGTTTAAAGTGCACATCATGCAGTATGTATCCCACAATGCAATGTGCTCAACTTGATATTCCATTTCTGGTGTGATAAAGGAACCAAAAATAATATATTAATATTTTAACATCTCTTTCTCCACTCATTATTTTCTATTATTTAAACTGACAAGACTTAAAACATGTGGGAATGATACACTTTCTTGAGGAAGCAGCACTGGGTTGATTGTTCAGATAGGTGATTATAGTTTTAGGGGGGATGAAGACCACCTAAAAAGGGTCTAGAACTGCTCCTGGTGTATAGTATATGCAGTATGCAGTAAGCAGTACTAACTTTCCACTCCATACTTATCATTAGCATTTGTTTGATCAGTACTGAGTGTAATCAGGCAGATTAAACATCAATAAATGTTGGCCTTGAATGCTTATTACCCATTTGTTAAACTGACCCAGAGCTGAAGTTACTAATATACTGTAAGTTTTCTTATGATGAAGTTCTGTGTATTATTTCCTTATTTCCCCTATAAACTTACAGTGCCCTTGTTACCCTGTTAGCGTTCCAACATACTGCCCGTGGTACACTAGTTAAATTGTTAAATTTTCCAGGAATGCTTTATACATGCTGAGCAATAATTACTCTTGCATCCTGAGCATTACTGAATGCAAAAATGTGATGTATGACTGCATAACACTTCAAGTAAAGTGAGGGTGAGTTTGCTAGGGCACTAGCTGACTAATGGAAAACTGGACTCATTTTCCTCTCATTGAAATTCTGCATGCCAATCCTGAGAATATTCTCTAGACAACAGATTTCTCTCTGATGTATGCAAAAGAAATCCTTTCCAGGTCAGACACTGGTTCATCCAGCCCAGAGAATGCATTTGGAGTCTTCTGTACTGCAGTAAGATGGGTGACATAATATATGAAGCCTACTGTTCAAAAGTTTGGGTCAGAAAAAAAAATACTGACCCCAAATAAAAAAAATTTAAAAAGTAATTAGATACAGAGCTCCCACAACTCTTGGACGAATACATTTCCAAGGTTTTAACATGTTGTACTTGTTTGGAATCTGTAAGAGTTGGATAAGTGTAAATGTTCTTGGTACTTTAGAGCTGAAGTATTTAATTATACAGTATTTGCTAAAAAATAAAAAAATAAATTAAAAACAAATGTACAGTTCATTGAGTTTTTATACATTTGTATGAAACCACAATTGGCAGGACATCTCACACCTCCACTTCATATTCACAGTTCAAACATAGCAGCTTGAAAAACAAAGACATAATACAACATTTTTAAAAACTCACTGCTTCCCTGAAGTCTCCCTCTTTTGGAATAAGTGTGACTGCCAGTTCCAGTGAACCCAGGTCATGGTTGGGATAGTGGGGATCTTTGAGGTCAAGGGCCACATCCAAGGTCCTAAAGGGGAGAGAGAACCTACAGCATGAACAACCAAAATCCTGCCATTGGGTTCTACATTTCTTACAACAGCATTTGTGTGTTTTTACATATATAAAAACTCTAGGGGGCAGCAGTGTCAAAGTAAATTAATTGATATTACGACACTTGAGATTGTGTTTCAGATTTGTCAATGTGTCACAAAGCAGACAGAAGACCTTTGGTGCTCCAGGGATTCTAAATAGAGGTATGCAGAGCCCATAAAGTCATCCTGCAGCCCAAAGTCATAGTCAAAGACCTGTAGAGGAAAGAAAAAACCCAACAGGCATGTCATTTCACACAACAAACTCTACTGACTGTAAAGCCAGCATACATTAGATCGACTCTTTACAATTCCATTAGTTAAAACACATTCCATTAAATTAAAACACATTAAATAATCACTAATGACTAAGCCATTAAAGGTCAATTTAATGACTGGAACAAAGCTCTCTGACTACATTTACAATCATTTACCTTCACGTAGAGTGGCTCTCTCAAACTCTCCACCAGCAGACTGACTTTCTCATCCCATACTGGGTTCAGGTTCTTGTGGATCGTTTTGCTGCGGAAAACCTCCTTCCCTGCGATTTTAAACTTCACATATGGGTCACTGGTCCCTGTAAATGCAACAAAAAATACACAATACATTTAGCTGTTTTTCAAGAGAAACTTGGGTAAATAAAGTTTTTTCTTCTACAAAATTAGACCAGCTTAGTTTATAATAAACAGTGATTTTGATACCCTTTAAAAATACTTCAAAAAAGATAAAACTTCACTGAGAAAATGAGTTGGAATTTGCATTCTTCACTCAATTCCAAATTCTACACAGCCCTTCTGTTAACTACTTAAAATCCTACATCATCTAGTTATCAGTCTTATCAGACTGAGATGATGCAAAAAAAGGTTATTTTTGAAAAACATATACTGTTGCTCATATGCACATATTCATTATCTAGCCTCTTTCTCTCGCTGTAGGGCTTTTTCCTTCTTGTGGAGTAGTTGTCTATGGTGTGTATAAATTGGTCTGAAAAAGTGGAGGCAAAGAGACTTGGGTCATGTGACCTTAACTGTCAGCCCTTATTGGCTCAAGCACTAAAGTGAGAGAGGATGAGTGTGCTGTGTGAAGCCAAAGGCAGTCTGAATACAGTGAGTACAACCATAAACAAATACACTAATGAGTAATAATCAACATGACAGAGCCTCATTATATACCCTGACAAAATGACAAGACTCAACAGAGAGAACAACAACAGTACAGAGCATATCATAACACTGAATGTGTGTGAATGTAATATGCCACAATGATAGACGTGTCTAAGTGACTGGCTCATGAAATTGCCAAAGCCTGACAAATACTGACATACGACTCAATTAGTTTGCAGTATAACATAGTACAGTTCCTAAAAGAGAGCACTAGATGTTACTGGGTGTTCAGTGGAGAATTTGCACAGAGCCCTGCATGTCACCTGACCTGCTCCATCTGCAGTGGATCAGGAATGTCTCGGTTACGTATGGTAACCCTCGTTCCCTGAAGGA